GCACAAAAAAAGAAACTGTCCAGATGACCTGACTGAAAAATGTTGGACTGAACATTAATGTTTACTTATGGTACAGTACTTTTTACTTTCCTGGATTGAGCATGCATCAGGATACTTTTTACTTTGTTTTTAGCTTCTTTCACTAACATGCCTGCATGTTCTTCGAGTCACTGTTCTTGATAATTATGGCTCAAATTCAAAAGGGTGAGTGTCTGTAAGCGTGCATTTGTGAGTCATGTTAGTAAAATATCTGATGAACCAGCAGACAGGTTTTAATGAAACTTAATCGTTGGATGCACATTTACATTTGATTGATGAAACTTTGGAGCCAACCTAGATCAAGATGGCTGCCATGTTGAAAAAAAGTGGCTCAGCCAGTTTTACAGATATTGAGCAAAACATCCATCCATTATCTTTACCCGTTTATTCCATTTTGGGTTACAGGGGTCACCGGTGCCCATGTCCAGCAATCACTGTGTGAGGGGCGGGGTACACCCTGGATGGGTCTCCAGTCCATCACAGGGCCACATAGAGACAAACGAGACAAACAACCATTCACTCTCTCACTCACACCCTAGGGACAATTTAGAGTTACCAATCAGACTAACATGCATGTTTTTGGTCTGTGGGAGGAAACCGGAGCACCCGGAGAAAACCCACGCATGCACGGAGAGAACATGCAAACTCCACCCAGAAAGGCCCCTGGACCGGGGTTTGAACCAGGGACCTGCTCGCTGAGAGGCAGCAGCTCTACCAGTTGCGCCACCGTGCTTTGAGCAAAACAGAAAAAGGTAAAAGAGAAAACAACGAGGAACTTTCTAAAGATCAGGGTTCACAAAGAGTCATGGAGCAACGTTCAGCAAACGTGAGCGTTTTGGGCGACGTGCATTCGTTGAAGGTATGCGTGGCCTTTAATTATGATATTACCGTCGTTTTTTGGAAACAAAACGTCAAAGTGCAAGTAAAGCAGATAGTCTGCAAAGCTTCAGATGTGAGCTGTTCCTCTGGAGTCCTGCAGAAGAAGTGACCTCACAGTCACCGTCTGGTTCAACAGCTGCAGCTGAAAAGGTCAAGAGAAATGCAACCTTTGTTGAACGTTATGGGGGGGGGG